GGAAAAAGAAGTTTAGGCACCATATTACCAATTCAGAGCAGAAAGAGAGCCTTTTTCTCTGCAATTCAGCCAGTTATGTTGGGAAGAGCAGGGACAGTGAGTAAGAAAACATGCGGATTACAGGAAGAGACAGAAAGAAATGTAGGGATGGGAGAGCATGCTGTTTCAAAGGGTCCTGTACCTCAGACCTCCCCTATTCCCCTTTCGTATCCTTTCTTTCCCCTGGCTCAGACTGCTCTCCCTTCCTTCCCCTCCACCCCCAGCAGACCTGCTAATGTAAACATCCACCAGCATACTTCAGACTGCTGTAAAACTCAAAAAGCATACGAGGAAAGTGCCATTTCAAACAGCAACCATGCCAGCAAGAGGCCAAGTCCCGTCCTTTCTAATAGCTGGAGCTGCACTGCCCATCACGGCCCTCCACCTTAAAATAAGCATTAAAGAAAAAAATATTAATCTTTCCTGCTCCAGGCATCTGTCTCCCCTCAGAACAAAAAAAAAAAAAAAAAAAAGGGGGGGGGGAAGGACACAATAAAAAGATGAAGGACCCTTTTGGCTCCCACTTTGACCTCCCCAGCTAAGCAGTGAGAAAATGGATTGTCCTGGACCTCTCATGTAATCTTTCTGCATTTCTAAAACACAGCTGCCCACAGGATGCAAGCCCTGCATTTACATTACAAAGTGCAAAGAGGCTCTTCCAGATGGGGCAGCTTCTCTTTGTTGATTTTAACCATTAGCTCCCAAACCAAGCATATGTCTAGACGTTCCCCTGTTCAGAGAATTTCCTGGAGGTGAGAAGAGTTTCCTGGGACAGAAATCTAGGGCTTGTGGTATGCAGAGTTCACTCACTGTGGTGTTAAATCTGGGCAAAGGGCTGAGGCAACGTGCTTCACCCTGCTTAGAAGAGGCTCGCTGTGGTTTTAGTCAAGGTGATTAGAAATAAGTTTTAGGATAAAAGAAACCTGCATGAGGTTCTCTGGCATCAACAGGCCAGATTAACAGTAAACCAATGCAAAGCGTGGCATTTACTGTAACTTTTTTCCATGATGATCTTATAAACACACTTGAGATACAAAGATATGATTTCATCTCCCATCTCTGCAGCAGAATGAGGAAATGATTAACAGCCCTACCTGCATGGATCTCTTTCCCCAGCTTGGGGAGATACTGCTGAGCCTCTGAGCAGTTAATTCTGTAGTAGAGCTAGCAGCTTTGGGGACAGGGGAGTTCACCTCAAGGTGAAGGAATTCTGCATTAAGGAAACATGAGATCAGTAAGTATGAATGGACTATTTTGCAATCTGCTCCCCTTCTAACCAGGTCAATGGAAAAGATATCTCCAGAGCCAGTTTACAGGAGGTCCTACAAACGCTCCAGAGCACAGGAGAACAGATTACACTGGAACTGCACAGACAGAAATCTGCCCACCAGACTCCCTGCACATCTGATGCTGCAACCCAGACGGACTTCAGAGCAGGGAACGAGCAATGCCACAAGGAAGAGAACTGCACCAAATCGGGTTTAACTCTCTGCCTAGATGGGTATGTATAACGTGTTGCCCAAGGTAAAGAAATGTCTCCTAGAAAGCAGCAAATCGCAGAGGGTGCAAAGCACAAGGTCAGCCAACATCTCTCAAAGCCGGATTTCTAATCAGCTGCATCCACTAACCTTAAAATGGGCTGAGCTAGCTCCTGCCTAGCACTGATTCTTTGGTTTGGCTGCTCAGACAATAACAAAAATATGACCCTCAGCATGCCAGAGCACAGAACCAGCCCCTCTCGCTGGGCCGGAGAGGAACTTGTGTTTCTGTTTGGTTTCTCCACAGGGCTTTCTTTGACTACTTGCTGCCACAGGATTGCAACAGCGATAATGAATTTAATTACCCACTTCCTGCATCCTGTGCCACAGGAAAAGAAGAGTTGAACTGTAAGGTATCCCATCGCATTTTGCCTCCATACCTTCCGAAAAGCTTTTTTGGTCACCTCAGCCTTACATCATCAGGTCTGCTAAACCAGCTTCAATGTTCCCTGCTCTGACTGTATTTCTCTTGCAGGCATTAGCCCTCGTTCATCAAGATGAGTTGAGTTTCAGCAGCTGTTCCTCCATCCCTACAGCTCTCTCCAGTGTCTCCAGGAGCTTGGTAAGGCCACGTCTCAGGCTGTTTATAGCAGCAGCAGGGAGAGCGTAAGGCAAGAGAGAAATCCTGCCATTGCACGTGGCTGGAGGATGCTTAGAGAGATGCCTCATGCTCAGCCAGGGAGGATGGCCCCAAAGATACCTAACGGCCTGTGCGTGTTTGTTTTTAGGCAGAAAGTGAAAGCAGTAAAGGCACAGAAGAAAAGCAGGCGTTTCCCCATCCCGTGTGGGACAGTGGCCTGGGCTTTACTGACACCAGCACTTGGGCAGCTGAGAATTCAGGGCCTGATGCAGGAGCAGAACCAGCCAGCGGCCAGGAAGGTCCCAGAACAGATCTCTGTGCCAGCACATCTGCATGGAGAGGACTACTTACGGATGACTTCCCCACCTACGATGAATTAAGCGATTCCAGTTTCTGTGGCATAAGCGCAGAGGAGTGCAGAAGATTTCAAGAACTCCTGGAAAGCAGATGCAGCCAGTACAGACCCATTTCCAGGGAACACAAAACGCCTCACGGGTCAGGAGGCTGCAAGCAATGCAAACAGGGCCAGTGGCTCCCTAAATGCCTTCGGGTTGGTGAAAATAGCACCCCAAAAGAGAAAAGGCCTGCAGCACAGGGGTGAACTCTGCCAGCAGAGTGCAGCGAGCAGGGACAGAAGCAAAGCCAGCGAGAACAAGCCATCAGCACAGACCAGAGACGTGTGCCCACCACTACGCATCGCTGCCGGCTCAAAAGAGCTTACGATTCCTGACCACGCACGTCACTACAGCTCCAGGAGCCTGCTGCGGGAAAAGGCTGCTGCAGAGTGTCCAAGTGACCCGGCTAGAGTGTCAGCAAAACCAAGGCGATGCGGTGAAAGCCCAGAGGGCAGAGCAGGGGATAACAGGAACAGATGGAGGCTGGCATGCGAAAGGAGCAAGCGGTCCTTGAAGAAACAACGCAAGAACTGGCTGCTAAAGGACAGGGCCTTGAGAATCGCAGAACAACGAAGCAGACTGACCACAGATGAGGATGCCCTCAGCGAGCTAAAGACTGGGAAATACTGGAATAAGGCTCAGAGAAAACAGCACATGCTCCTAGCTAAGGAACAGAAACAGAGAAAAGCATTGCAGAGCCAGAGGGAACAGCTGAGCGAAGACAAAGCCAGCAGCGAGCACAGGAGAAACTTCAGTATTGTGGAGCTGAGTCAGAGGAAACTGATGAAGAACAGAAGCAAGAAAATCTTGGACAACTGGATCACCATCCAGGAGCTTCTGACCCACGGGACCAGGTCGCCAGATGGAATAAGGACATACAGTCCCTTGCTGTCCGTCACAGCTGTGTAACTGCCCTCCTGTCCCTTCCCAGAGGGTCGCCCCCAGCATCTTCCCGAAAGCATCCTCTATCACTGCAGAACGGTTCTCCCAATGTTTCCAACCTTCTGCTGGTTACTGTGCCCATTAAAGTCTCCCCACAGAAAGAGGGAGCTTAGTAGAACTACAAACTGGGAATTCAAGCCTGGTGACAGGCTTGCTTCTCCACTCAAATACAGCTTGACAACCCAGGGTCTACAGTATCTGTCTTGATACGCGTATTCCTGACTTCACTGTACATGAAGATTTGGCTCACTACATTCCAGTCTTATTTTTTTATACAGGATTCTCTTCAAATAAGGTATTTCCTTCTATATCCATCTCTTTCTATATTAAAGCTTTTTTGTTATTGCTCTGGTAGAAAGAAAAAAATAAAAGTATGCTTCAATCTTTAACATTGAAGTTGAATCATTATTTTCCCCAGAACTGGGTGTGCTATGCATTCCTGTACTTTAGTTCACAAGAAAAAAAAAAAAAAGAGAGGAAACAGATTTAGTAAATATAGTTGTTTACTGTAAAATAAGAGACAGAAAGTAGAAAGAGAAGGCACTTAATAAGTCCCTCTGTGGATTCTGCTACCAAGGGGGAAACAATACTCCCTACTGAGTTGCTGCATGTTTTATACTTATTAATCACCAGGAAAAATGAAAGATCCGCAAGCCCACTGAACTCTTCCCTTCCTTGCCCCTTTTAAAGATTTTAGGAATGAGCTCAGCTCTGAGTCACGATTAAAGACACCCAGTTATGTTCCTAAGCAGCCGCGCTCAAAGTGAAGATGTGCTTGTGCTACCCAATGCTCCCTGCTTTGCTATTCTACACTACAAAGGAAACAGGGCAAGCTCCAAGCTATCACTTGAAGATCCTTTATCCAGGCTCTAGTGCAGGGAGATAAATCTCTCCAGAGGAAGCAGGCAGTGGTGGTCCACCCCTTGTCCCCACAGCTGCTGAGACCAGACTGCTTGGATCTGATGGAAAGGACACCAGACAGCCAGGAAACCTGGTTTGCAAGCCCACCTTGAAAGTGTTCTTACTACTTTGCACTTCTTGCTGGAGAAACACCACCTACCAAACAGTGATCTGTGTCAGCTCACATCACCACAGAGTTCTGGGCAAAGCAGAAGAAATTTGAGGAAATAAGACGGGAATCAGTTATCAGCTAAAAAAAAACCAAAAAAACCCAAACACCTAGAGGTAAAACAAAGGCCAGCTAGAAGAGCATGGCAAGGTAGTTAGCAGCAAGCAGTGGGCAGTTTCTGTGGCTCAGCGTGCCCTAACTCCTGCCCGGACCATTCCAGACCATCCTTTCACGCAACGCAGAGGCAAAGGGCCTTGCTCCATCTGGAGCTACTGTCTGCACTACTCCAGTAAGCCTCAAGCTCTGGTGCTACAGTTCTGTACTAGCTTATGAAAAATAAACTGTGTCAGCCAGACAAAAAAAGACAAACATTATCAGTATTGATGCAGTATTCCATGGCAAAGAGACAGAGACAAGCGATTGCATTAAATCTCAGTTCATTTCTCTGCAGCTTTCCTTCGCAAAGTCTTCTGCAAGCAGTAGAGAGCCATGCTCACCAAGACACCCCCTGTCACTCCACTTCCAAGTCCTACCAAGCATTCATAAAACAATTCTCCTTGCCAAAAGTGCTGCTGCTCTTGCAGTTCTTCATGGGTGCTGTTTTCTGTGTTTCCTTCCAACTCATTTTCTGCTAACTTCTGTTCCCAAGTCAAGGATTTTTGAAAGTTCAGATCCACTAAGTCATTTTGGATCACTCTGACCCCAAAGTAGACCCTCTTGATGACTCTGAATGTCTTCACCATCTGCACATCACATCGGTAAGTCCCTGCATCAGACTCCCTGGTAGGGGAAAACCTGACGACGGCATTGGGGTTTTTGAAAGGTTTGAACAGTACATCCTTTGTGGTGATAAGGCCTTGGGCAAGCCTCCACGTATAGCTATAGGCTTGGCTACCAAAGCCGACTGCGTCCACGGTCAGGCAGCTAAGGTGGAAGGGTTTGCCCACAGGGACGGTGAAGTGGAGAAAACCGCAAACCCAGCTGGTCAGGCAGTCGGTCCTGCGCAAGGTACAATTCCTCCTCTCTCCGGCAGGAGTGATCTCGCACATCTCCTCCAGTTTGAAGCCCAGCCCGCAGGTGACGCTGCAGGATGTGGTGTTGACTGCAATTTTAGCTACAGCTGACTTCAGCTCTGCTGGGAAGGTAACTTTTTCAAAGGAAACTACCAGTGGCAGGTAGAAAGCACAAGATAATATCCCATGGACGTGGCTGTTCCCCGAGGTCTTCATATCAGGGTTAGCAATCAGACGTGCTGCTTTCTAAAACCACGCAAACTCAGTAGTCAAAAAAAACAAACTCGTGCTTTGTATATCTTCTAACCAAGTCATCTTCAAGACCTAAACCTTCCATTAGGAAAAATCCTCCAACAAGACAGGCTTGAAGTACAACACTGCTAAAAAAGATGCAACACATCACTGTATTGGTCAGACTGTGAATCGTGAATTCCAGTTCTCATAACAGGGCAGCAGGATGTTTTAATCCGCTATATTCCAGCAATTTGGATATATTTGACAATTTAAAAAAGACAAAGTCCTCCCTTACATACTATTTTAGATTAATTTCCACTGTAAAGAGGTACTGTTCCAGTTTAATTTTCCCACCAAACTATAAAAGAATATAAGTAATCACTACTGGAAACTTTAAAATAACGCTTTTGAGCATAAGGAAATCCTAATTCCTTATGCAGCACCTGTACAGTTCTGTCTTACGTCGGCATATCCCCAAATCTAAAGTACTCCCCAGATTACCAAGATCATGAAAACAACATTTCAGCCTATAGGTAGTCTGATGGCTCTGATATTAAAGGCAATCCGAACAGTATTTTATCACTGATGACATCCATCTAGGCAGGGCTCGGTGAAGCCACTCACATCTCCGCAAGCCCACGTTCCAAGGGGAGCAGTGCCGATGTCACAGTCTGGCTGCCCGGGTCAGAATGTGGCCCCAAACCTTCCGAGAGAGAACAAAGAACTCTCCTAAGTCTGAAGCCAAAGCTCCTCCGAGATGAGGACTCCGCATGAAAGTGTCGTATTAGGCTCTTGACATCTACAATCAGACTCAGGAGGGATTCACCAGCACTGGCCCCCACGGCACTACTCCGAGGAGCTGCCAGCCTTAGCCCCGTGCTCTGTGTCACGTGCAGCCACCGACTCCGAAGAACGATTCGAGCCCAAACCTGCACATTCAATAGATGCATCTGTAAAACAGAAACCACTCGTACACCCAGAATAATTCACTTAGTGCTCAAGTGTCCTGAAAGAATAATGCACTAGGAAGAAGTTCTTCATGAAAAAAAATTTAAAAAATTCAAAGTTACTTATTTTTGATGGAGTAATTGAACTGTGGTCAAGCCAGTTCAATAATCAGCAACTGAATTAAGGATTGCCGAAAGGATTTGGATTGCCATGTTCTTCAACAGCTCTGCTAAGGAATATCCATATTTCTCTTCCTAACACTTCTTCATTTATTAAAGCGAAGACTTCTGAAGACCTAGTAGATGTATTTCCACATTCAGTTTCCCTGGATGTGCGCTCTACGCCCAGCACGCTTTGTGTCCAGCTCCTCTTTTGCACGTCTGGCTCAGAGTGCCTAGGCTGCACTCAGGTGTACGGGGCTTTATTAGCCTACAGATTTACTCCTGCCTCTTGAAAACAGATCATCAACCAAATGCCACACTAAAAAAACCCAACCAACCAAACAACACACCAGCTGTGGTAAAGGCACAACATGTTTGTGTTTGCAGCGGAGCTGCGTTGCAGGATTCCTAAGCGTCGTACAATATAAACAATTGGGAATGTATGGAAAAGCCAAGATTTACCCATTGACTTTAGGAAATAAAACATACCTCTTTATTTACAAACACAAAACCTAACATCACTGCTATATGCTACCATCAAGCCAGTATCCAACAAATATTGTACAAAACTACAGATACCAAAAAATAAAATAAAAGATAGAAGAAAATATACCAAGGACATATACACTGTACAGAGAAGTTTTAACAGAAATGAAGGCTGGAGTCTGTGGCAAATTATATCCTTTAAAATAACCCAGAGAACCATTGCCTGTGCATCTTTTAAAGCTTGTGGGCTCAGCCACCCCACGTACAGGTGGATTTGACATAACAGTGTTCCAGGAAAGATGCGAGTCATCCTACAAGCAGAAAGAACAACGAAAACTAATACTGTACACACGGGAATGAATTTCATTAAAAGAAGCAGGCCACTGTACCAGAGCTGGAAATGAAAATACCGCTTTTAAAAAACCTTCTGATTTAAAATGTCTCCTCTCTTCCCATGCTTATAATATCTCATGCAAGTACTGCATATTTCTGACTGCAAATTAATAAATCTCTTTATGACTCTTCTTCTTGTTTCTAATGTCCGCAGGATACTTTGAAGATTTAAATACGCAGTGATAATCTCAATAATTACATCTGGGGAAAAAACTGAAAGTAATTGCATAGGAACTATGTCTATAAAACAAGGGCATTAGGAATGAAAACTGTCTTTTAACAGGCTGTTGCTCTACTACAGAGAAGTGTCAGGCTGTAGGTATTGGATAGAGAATGTGTCTCTTCCCATTCCCACAAGGAAAATGTTACAACCGTCTTTAAGGAATAAACGGTTAAAGCATGGCTGGGAATAAGCTGTTAGCATTCATCTTTCTTCCATTCTTGATCCAGAAGTGGGGAAAAAAAAATATCTTGAAAATCTACTGTTTCAGTCCAGGGAAATATTAGTTCTGTTTTTTCTCTGACTGCCAGTACCTACCAGCTAAGGAGGAAACCAATTGTTTCTGGTCAGGCACCTCACGGGAAAGAGACAGAATAAAAACACTCGCAAGGACAGAAAGAAACTGCCAACACAGCTTTTCATATCACAGGCTAGAAGAAAGCATATAAAGTGAGTATCTTATCTAGAGCTACTTTCACTTGTTCCTTTTCCCATAAACAGAGTCATCCTTCATGTCTAAAACATTCACAATATGAAGATTCATCCTTTGCAGACTTCAGAGGGTGTCTTGATTCTTCACATTAGATCTCTATCCACTTGAGATGAAATCAAACCTGGCACATAATCAGCAGCAGTGTTGCACTAAGCACGTCAGCAGAGAAGACATCACTCTGAGCTAACAGAAAAGCTGGTAAGGTAACGCAGCTGGCATAGAAGGACTTACAACTCACCGAAATGAAAATTAACAGCAAAGAAAGGGAAGTTTGCAGGATACACAGTCATACGGCATCAGGAATAAAAATACACACTTTGGGTATTCTTCAAATCCAGGAACAATACAAAAGCTATTTAAAAGACAATGGCTGAGAAGCTGTGGAGTGGCAGAGTGTTGGGTACCAGCTCACTTTAGAAATAGTTATATAGGTCAACACAAAGGCAGTCCAGTTAGTCTCTTTGCAAATCGCATGACCTGAGAGTCAGCATCTTACACTGTTCGATGAAGAGGCAGTTAAGGAGGAATGAAGGCCGTTTCCTCTTCCATATTAATTTCTTACAAAAGTCACTCCCTGAATCCATGAACAATCAGTCTGCTGTATTAGTCAGTCCACTCTATTTCATCTATTTTCCACATTATGGTGCCAATATAGGAAAGAATACAGGAAGATAAAGAAGAGTGTCTTCATAACAATTCTGAGATTGCACCACCTGCTAAAGAGATCAAAGACAGGTGAAAAATAAGTAGTCAGACTCAAACAGATGTTACCAGAAACCAGATACCACCAAATATGGGAGCATTTCCAGAAAAAAATGAAAAGAGAACACGATTTTCTAGATAAAGCCATTCTTTTCAGAATGAGATATAATAAAAAAGATACTGCCTATGACGAATTAAGATCTCTAGTATTTCTGCATTTGTACTTGAGATCACATGCACAGGCATGGACAAGGTGGCCAAGGAACTCTAAGCTTTTTCTCCACAAAGTTGCGAGCAAACTTACCTGGTGTAAAACTTTTTGATTTATCAATCCCAAAATCTCAGAGCAAAAGCACAACTGAAAACAACAAGTTCCACCTAAGTTTGGGTTAAACCAGATTGCCATAAGATTTTATTCCAAAACTGTAAGAGGGATCAATCTTCTCAGTTCCTTTACACTGAAATTTGTTTTTGACACAGCAGCTTTAAGAATAAGACATTTACTCCTGGACTGCACAGCACAGTGACACAGATGCACTTGCACCAGGCTCCAAGTCAAGTCCCAGCCATGCAGCTTGCAGAAAGACACTGTATTATGGCATAGCACAAACATTTTCCAGCAGAGAAATGCTTGTGTGACAGTTTTAGTGACTGATTAGTTACTTCAGAAAGCAACAGCACAAGGAACTAGCAGAATTAACAGCTTCATGCACGAGACACAAAAAGGCAGGCAGGCTCCAGGATCCCAGGCAGGTGGTCGTTTGAATTTGGAAGTGTATATTTGCACGGGGTGGAACACTGGCAACCCCAAGAGAAAACTGGCTGCCCAAACCAGGAATTCTAAGTGCAAGCCGTAAAGAGAACAAAGGAAGACAGACATGAACTTCACAGACTAGAAGACTACTGTGAGTTTGGAAAGATCCAAGCGACAGTTTCAGTGGATAATCTGTTCTTCTCCTAACGAGGCTCGTACAGACCCTTCCAACACTGACTACTGAGATCTTACTGCCTGGATCTATCGGATCCTCTTAGGCCAACGGTACTGCAGGAGGGAGCACAATAAGAGGTCCTAATCAGAGACAGAAGTCCATCATAGTAATATTATTTGCATATAGCTCAATCAAGGTAAAGAAAACCACCATGGAAAAATACTTTAAAAGTGCTTACAGGCAACAAAGACTACAAGTAAATTCTAGAAAGCTCTACCATCTCCAGTAGATGGGTAAAGTAACTAGGGAACTTGGGTCTAAACCCATTTCTTTATAAGAAAATAAAATTCCCGTTTTGCAGTGTCCAAAAACTGAAGCTAACCGTACTGGCACAGGTAGGCATATCCCAAGCTCAGCAGCAGTAGCCAGTAAAATTCCACTGAGGTCTTTTATAGCAAGTCAGACTATATTATAACACGGCATGGGAACATTACAAGCAAGCTCACACAAACATCCTCCCAAATATGGCTTTGCAAGGATGTGTAAAAAACCAAGAAAGGAGTCTATCGAGACTTGCTTCGCTTGAAACATGTTAGAGGAAATGGGAGTATTTTCCCAGCTCTCGGAACATACTGATGCAATAGCGATCACAAGCTGCAAGAAGAAAGTACACTGAGATCTGTCTACAAACATAGATCAAGCAAATTAGTAAAACAAGTTGATAAAGTTACATAAACATACCTTAAAAAAGTAGAACAAAAATACTTTGTATTAAAACCACTTCTCTGAAAACAGACTGCTTACACAGCTACTTAAACATGGAAAAGTCAAAAGCCAGCACTGGTTTGTTTAAAGCAAATAATGACTGAAATTCATTTTGGAAGCCACATTGCTACCTTTCCAGTACATGATCCTTTCTCATTTATATCCTTTTGCATATGGTCATGTTAATTAGCAGCATGATAAAAGAAAGCAATCAACAAGCCTGCTGATGAAACTAACAGTTATACTCGTCTGGTCTTCAAACCGGTCTTGCCCATCCAGCACGGCACAAGAGAGCGGTCAGGGTGTGTAACAGATGCCAGCAAAGACACCGGAGGATCCACACAATCCAGGTAATTCCTTACTATCACACTTTAAAACACATTGGATGCCCCCTAATGACTTGAGAAGTCAGAAGAGAATCACCCTGTTCAGTAAATCTGACGCTAGAAGCTAATCAGCACCTCCCAGGCTACGAACAAGGTCTAAGGATATTCTTGGCTATCTTTAATTTCTGCATTTTGCAAGGTGCAGTGTGAAAGGATTAAATGGAAGCCCAGAAAACATCCAATACGTTTTTTCCATTTATAGACTAAGTTTCTTTTATCCCACTCCCTTTTTCTGCGAATAGCAATTACCAGTACTAGTACAAGCAACATAACAGGAGCTGAGCAGGAAGGACAATGAGCAAGGTGGGTAGCATAGGACCAGCAGTGAGGGAAGGAAGGGTGGGGGGGAATAAAATCACTTTTAAATCAATTAATAAAATCACTGTACAGTCTGAAATCCACAGCAGCAGCTGCTGAGTTCAAGGAAATGCAAAATTTGATATACCAATTACATTGTGTCTTTGAAACTGTTTATATATCAACCCTGAGTATTTCACTACAATCTAACAAAAATAAATCATGGAGTCCACCTCACTTAATTCAAACCTGTGCTTTATTTACTGCGCCTGAATGAACTTTTCCCAAATAAGAAGCTGAAGTAGCAAATGAGACAAATGGGAAACAGTCTCTCTGAAACTAAGTCTGAACCCTAACAAAGGCAACTGCAACAGTCCTGTTATAGTACACAACCGACAAAATATAACAAATTTAAAAAAAAAAAAGGAGAAAAGTCCACCAAAATCTATCCTGTACCTTCTAGAATTCTAGAACTAAGGCTGCTGTATAGCTAGGAATAGAAGATTCGGCTCCTGAATTTTATCTCAGGGTTCATTTATCAAACGGACCATTATCGATGCTCCATTTCCTAGTTCTGCTTACAGAACTTTCCTGATCTTCACCACTCTGCCAAGTATTGATGGCACAAAATGTCAATGTCAGCTTCAGAATCCTTCTCTATTTACAGTTTTCCCCCTCAAAATCGAACCACCAAAGCCAAACATTATTACTGGCAAGGATATCAGTTGTATTACAAATATTGAAAACGCTTTTAAAAAAAAAAAAAAAAAGTAAAATTTTGCCTATCCTTGACAGCAGCTAGACGTTTAGTGAGCAAGTGCCATTTGGGACGATAAAACGCTATGACTATATTAAGTCAGGGTCTGTACAAAGCAAGGCCACCAAGCAAGCCAACGACGCTCACGCTGGGTTCCTTACCTGTCAAAGGCTGTCCCAGCTCCGCCTGCACTTTACCCTTCGCTGCTCCTTCCAGAGGTAAAGCACCTCTGTCCCCTTTGTAGAGTTTCGGTTTAAATGGAGAATCTTTGTCTTTACCTTTTGATCCTTTAGGCCTGCCTGCTTGCTTCTTCTTGGATTTACCATCTCCCTTCACACCCAGCAGCGGATGGACTTCTGCGGAGAGAGAATGTGTTACCAAAGTGAATTATCCCTTAGGATTCCTTATATCAGCACACACAGCCCCTTGGTGTGAGATACAAACAGCATTAAAAATTACAGTTTCAGGATGCCTTTACTCATTCCTAGCTTGCAAAATGCCACCAAACTTGCAGTGTGTGGCTACTACTAACTGTTGTAAGATGTGACTTCAAAGGAAGGAGAAAATTAAGGAGTAACCTTCTGAACTTCTGGTCTTCAGACAAAGCTAAGACAAAGCGAAAAACCATCTCAGAGGCAGAACTGGCACTACGGCAATGGCAGCTTCTACGCACCATCGTTAGGTACTCCTTGTAGTTCGATGTTGGTGGTTTTGGGCTTCTTCTTTGGTGCCTGAGGTCCATCAGAGGAGGACTGCCTCTTCTTCTCAGAGCCTATTCCCTCATCAGTTAAAGAACTCTGAACCGCATCTGGTGGAGGCCCGTAGGGGTTTTCTTCTGGGTCTTCAACTTCAGGAGCAATGGGTAAGTAAAGCAGAGCCTTGGAGTCCTCCAGTTCTTCATCGCTGTGAAGGAAAAGAATTTGCTTTCGTTTAAAAATAGGAGTTATTACAACATATTACATGGGAAATCTTAGTGATATATTTTGTATTCATACTTTAAACAAAATAATTATTCCTTCACCTGCTACAGAAGGCAGCAATGGGATCTACACTAGTTACATCCACTTCTTCATCTTCTGCAGCATCAGCACCTGAGAACCAGGGAAAAAAGACAAATTAAAGACAGTGAGAAAAAGACTAAATTACTTAAAAAGGACTGTTCTTAAATGTCTAAGCAAGTAGAAGTGAGAATTAAAGCAGAAAACAAACCTGAAGTGTTTCCTCTTAAATCCACCACGTTTTTATTTTTTTCTATCTCCTAATACAGACCCATTGTAGTAAAACACCAGTAATAAAGCTAAGTAAAAGATTTTAAATCTTCTAGATGGTTTGTTTTCACTAAACTAGTTCTAAATCAGATGAAATTTATTGTAATGCTTTATTCCCACAACGTTAAACTTGAATATTAAAAACTGCTAAACAACAATTATCTAAATATGGGAAGTGCTGCAAAGCCCGGTAACGAGCAGAGCTCTGTGGTGTGCTGGAAAAATCCTCATTTCTTTCCATGGTTTAACCGCAGCCTTTCACAGGACACGATTTTTTAGCACCACCAAGCGGCCAGGCTGCACTGCTATCGATTCTAATTCAGCACTGCTGATGGTGAGAGCAAGCCTGACACCCACACGCGTCCTTTGCTGCTGCTTTCTGAGTAAACGTATATCGGAGAGGGGAGGCGTTTCTAAAAAAACATCGCATGTCCATTGGCAGGAATCATATTGATTGGGTTAGTCCATACATCTTCATTTATCCATTCCTGATTTGTCATTTAACGCCCATATACGCTACCCTAACAACTAGTTTTAATTTTTACTACGGTCATGTAGTCAGACTACGAACTATTTGGTACACAGAAACACGGTTTATGCAGTACCTGTCTGTTCTGGTTCACTCTTATCTTCATCTTCAATGTCAAACTCTGACTCTCTCTCTTCATATTCTACATTTTCATCCAGCTCTTTGAAGTCAGGCGCAAAGGCACTCCAGTTTTCCTAAACCACAAATTCAAAACGATTTTTACCGTATGCAAAGGAACAGCAGCTGTAGTGAGGACTCATGGAACTACAATCTCATTCTGCATTAAAATCCCCCACGCAACACACAGGATCACAAAAAAAAAAAAAAAAAAAAATTCAAATCAAGCCTCATTCAGGTCCACAGTCACGTGGCAAATTAGGAACTGCACAAGCTGAAAATACGACATTGTAATACTCCTTAAATATTGCAATGTATGTCATAATTACCCCTAAAACCCAAAGCTGTGTGTTAATGTTTAACCACTTCAGTTCTGGCTCACACAGATTTCCTGTACCACTCCTGTGTAAAACGTCCCTGTGATGATATTTAAGACAACACAAAGCTTAACTAGTTTGACAATCGAAGTATGAGTACCCTCCTCACAGTCAACAAGATGGCAAACATATTTCAAGTTAGGCAGCTGAACCTAAAAACTGTGTTGAACTGGGATTTAATAAAGGATTTCAACACTCAATAATTCAGTCTACTAGGATGGAGAACCGCTGGGGAATCCTCTTAAGGAAATGATCTAAAACGCTTACCACTTGATTCTGAGCCCATATTGACACAACACCACTTGAAATAGAAGCTATGATCGGTCGGACAGGATGCCACTAGATTCATTTGAAAGAGAAAAGAAGAGGAGCTTAATTGGTAAATGGAATTAAGAAAGCTTGGTTTTCAAAACAACAAGAAACATAGTAACAACAGACAGTTTTCTTACTGCTACATCCAAGAGCAGCTCTCCTCTGGTCCCATGGAGGATTTTCACTAGGTTTCCAATACTCTTCTCCCAAATGTACAGGGCATGTTGTCGTGCTGAACCTGCCACTATATATTCACCGTCACCAGAGAAACAGCACTTCTTCCACGGCGTCCTGCGTGCAAAGACAACGTCACAAGTCAAACAGTTAAACAACAGCACAACGTGGAGGAGGGAGGACTGTGGAGCAGGGCTGCTCTTCAGACTGAGATCTCACACGCTCCCATCCACAAATAATATTTAAACTTCAAATCATATCACGACGGACAGGTTTCAAACCTCACCTTTTCCAGCAAGGCTGACCAGCCATTCTGCCGTCTCTTACCTGTTCACTAAATCCTGCAGCTTCTGCATTGGTTCAGGCTCCCCGTCTCGTCCACAAGTTAGAATTTCACGCCCATCGTACACCCTGATTATCCGGTCAGCTGTGTTTATTAAAAAGCAGCTGCAGGAAGAAGGGCACAGCACATACATTACATTAAACCACTAAGAAAATAAAAAGAATCGGAGTTATGTTCCATGAAAGAATTGTGGGGGGTTTTAAGACAGGTTGCATGCTCTGTCAATCTACCCTATAGTTTTCAATTCATCTTAAAGGATACCACCTGATAAATGAAGTGACTTACCTTCCTTTCCGAGCAAATTCAATCGATTTAATAGCTGTTGTGTTGCTAGTTCCAGTTGTCACTCTGAAGGAAGCAACAAGATCCTGAGTGTCTGTTTTCAAGACCAAAATCTGAGGATCAAGGAGACAGAAGGCAATCAGCATCTTCATTATAACTCATTCCCCTTTCGGTACCTTTCACATCAGCTACTAACCCTGACAACAGAAGCCTCAGCAATCTACACAGGAATAGTTGGGATTCTGCAACTGTAGTTTCTACTACAGTTTCTGCGGCAGTTCTGCGACATAAACATTGGTTTATTTACACTGGAAAAGGATCCAACAAATATGGTCAAAGACAACAGCAACACAAAGACCTAACTCAGACAAAGCGTTATAGTCTAGAGATCTTCAAAGATAAAGTGCGATGCTTTATTCAGAAGATCGTATCGGCGCAATATGAATTATTCAAGAGACATTCAGGAAGCCTTATCAGTGTATTAAAACAAAGAACGCAACGCAGAAACGTTCGGCATCTTGATAAAGACAGGAAGTACTGCATCCAGTGCTGCCTGCTGAAGTCTCACCTTCCCCTTGGCATTGCCTGTATAAATGTATTCCCCTCGCCTGTCAAAGGAGGCCACAACGTTGAGATCAGAATCATCATCCACAGGTAGGACAACGTGCTTGGAGTCCGACAGCGTTAGCATCACCGGCGCCGACTTCATGGGACAAACCAAAACTCTGTTTCTGGAAAGCAGAAAAAGAAGAGTTAGTAGTTTCTTCTCCGGAAAAGAAGTTTCCACATTTAGAAGTAAGAAAAAAATCTTAACCTATATCAAGAAATACAGAATACTTCTGTCTTGTTATTATCTTATTTTGTCTTTGTTACTTTAACCACAACATGACATTTAGCTGATGTCCACTCTCATTTCCTTTTTCTGGAACTTCTCCAAGTTTATGCAGTAACTCGCAAACTCAACAAAACATTTCTATACACATTTCTCAGAATTATTCTCTTGTTTACGCTCCTGCCTTCCTGATATTTTCGTAATAAAAAGAGCCACAACAAATCCAGTTAGGGTTCTGATAACAAAAAGAAGATACGGTGATGGCATCTGCTAGGTTTAAAAAAAAACCCTTTCCAAACTACAATAAAAACATTTTAATAATCATTAGTTCTACCAAAATGAGAGCATTCAACTCTTTTTTCACAGGACTTACTGGTCTCGAGGGTGGTACTGAACTTTCAAGATAGGCGAAGGAAATCGAAATCTCTGGTCGCAGTCTCCAGAGAGCACATCCCACTGCGACACAATGTTATCGGTCGAAGCACTCACCAGTTTGTGACCATCTCGACTCCAGCTACAGTAACAAGAGGCAGTTCAAGTAAAAGTTACTCCTTAAACTCACGGAACATACACCCACAGTTTAAAACTATCAGACCAAATTACCAGACTCAGAAACAAATCTGTTAGCGTGAAAAATAACTTAACATGCGAAAGCTCAACAGGCGTAACACATTTCTAAACTCTCTTAAAGGAAAGTATCCTAAAGCATGACCGATGCAACGGGCCGGCATTTCAGCGCCGACACAGCCGGGTGAAGAGCCGTCAGGGCGTCAGAGCACCTGATGCTCAGCAAACCCAGGAACGGACAAATTCTAACAAACCCGAGAAACAGCCTTTCGTAGCTGACACACAGGCTCCCAGCTCAGTTCCAACTAAACACGGGACCGGCTCGTTCCAATTAAAACCCGAGCCGCGTCTCACCATAACGAGCAGACGGGGTGAATGTGGGCGCTTATGATTTTGGCGATGCCCCTGGTGAGGAAATCCCAGATGACGATACGCCCGTCGTTGCAGCCCACGGCGAGCAGCGTGCCCCAGCGGTTGAAGGTGCAGGTGAGGGCCATGCTGATGCAGTCCAGCGTGCCATCCGCCTCCTGCGGGGAGAGGGCACCGGAGGGGGGCG